TTGAATAATGCTTATAAATTATGTTGATGAGATAAATGAATTTTGATAAATGCAATGAATGGAGTAAATATGTGGGCATACATAAAGAGATTAAATGCAGTCAATGCTTAAATACAGTCAATGATTAGCACCAATATCACCATCATCAGTAGTAGTTGATTGGTACTCCCTCAAAACAGAAAAAACAGCTTCTACCTGATTACACTTTGGAACACGCTGCAGATTTTCAAGATGAAGTTCCTGACGGCAGTGTGGACATGTTGTACTTTCTTCTAACCACCTCGTAATGCAGTCATAGCAACATAACTTACGACAACAGACAAGAACAGCAATATTGTCTCCTACGCAATTCGTGCATATAAAGCAGTCAATATTGCTCTTCATGGACATTATCATATTATTCAAAGACTCACATTGAGCCTTACTCTGTTGCAGTTGCATTGAAATTTTCCCGACCTCAAGAGGATCCTCATTTTTCCTGATGCGCTTAATTTGACTTTCCAACTCTCTTGCCAGTTGTATCTGTTTGCCTTCGATACGATCAAGCCGATTACTAGTTGGTGAACGAGCCCTTTTACGCGATTTTCCTTTTCCAGTAACAAATATAGGGGATGGCATAAAATCATCATCATCATCAGATTCATTTTCTCCTCCAAAGAGTAAAGTATAATCACTCTTTGTCACTGCTTTTATACGACGAGACCCTTTCCAAAAAGAAGGATCTAATATACAAATTATAGTACTAAAATAATATAAATAATTTTAACATAATTTGTACCTTGTGTACAGGAATTGGATGGTATCTTGAAATTGTCGTTGTCAAGTAAGACAACTTCATTGTTTGAATAGCACTCAGCTGATATTTTATCCGTGATATAGCTCAAACTAGCTGAAGAGGCACTCAGAAATAGCGGATAATTAGAGGTCTTTCTAAGTTCTCCAGTTGTCTTGTTGCATTCATGTAGCTCAATGTTTTTCTGCCAACCAACACTCGCTTCTTGACTTGATGGCTCTGGAGCCTTTGTCTTGAGACTGAAACGCTTACTCTTTTTATGCGAAGTCGGCTGATTTACCAGTGGGTACGGGTACGAGTAAGGAAGAGCGTTAGTGGCCACAATTCCTGTTGGCGTCGGCGGGAGAGCAGGAGGCTGTGAGCTGAACATACTCGGCCCGGCATCACCAACTCCTAATGTGGGTATTGGTTCCCCTTGAACCTTGTATACCTTTCTTTCTTCTAAGTGAAAATTCCCATTATCATCTGGTGTTTCCAGTTGTCCTTCCTCGTCAGTGAACAGAAGAATACTTCCGGGAGACAGCCCAAAGACTTTCCCTATCCATTTAGTCGTCACTTGGTGATACTTAAACTTCAACGTCCTGTCCTTATATTGTAGGGTATAATCGTCATAGGTAGAGATGGGGTAATCCATTCTTGATTCTTCACAAAGATCGGAGCACGTGTAAATGTGTGTTGCTTGCTTGGCTTGCTGCACTGCACTATGACTGCACCACTGTAGTACTGAGCATGCGCAGCCACACCCACAACAAGAATGGAGGATGTTGACATGGCTTTAATAGAATACCTGAGATGTCAAGGCAAGAGCTACAAAGACATCAGTGAACGCCTTCAAACAGCCTATCCAAATAATCGTGGATTTTCTGCTAGAAGTGTGAGGCGGTATTGTGTTTTACATGGAATTAGTAAATTGAGTGATTCTGAGGTCGATGACATCATTGGTGATGCTGTTCGAGAGGTTAGACTGTGCAGTAGTACCCCTCTTTATACATGCTTGACGCAGAGTGCATCATTACTAGCATTTGGGTAATTCCGTTAACTTTGTTTTTGGCCAGACTAGTTTTTGATAAGGTAATTAACACAGCCAATAGTTGCAGTGCCAAGTCTGTGAAACCGTGGCAGGCACTAAGGACAAGAAAGGGCACTATAGTGTAGAAAAGACTCAGTCAAGGAGCAGCCATATATTAAAAATACTGGTGCTTTAATTAGAATTTGAGAACCACCAGTGACAGCGAGTGATCCCAACCTCTGGTGAGAATCGACAGGATATACTAAAATTAAAATTGTTGGAATTACCTATGGGTCTAATTGCAAAATTAAGTCCACAAAAATAGATTTTTAGGCAAGTTTGTGAAATTTATATCCCTCGAAAAATTGGACATGTATTGTATTTTAGTTGAATACATTACTGTTTGTGATAGGTTGGATGTATATATGGAAGGCGAATGATGAAAGGTTATTTGGAATCCAAATCAATATCAGTAGGAGAATCAAAAGTGTCTCAATCACTACAGCGTGTTGCTCCTAACCACTATGCTAGTCGCCGATCTAGAACAATGGATAGGACAAATCCTAGGCCGTACTTTGCAAGATGTTTTGGACATAAACTTCATTTAGATCAAAACGAAAAATTAATCAATTATGGTGTAACACATGTTATTTCTGTCGATGGATATTCTGGAAAAATTGTTACCCATATCACTTCAGCTGTTAAAAATAATTTAATTATTTATGACAGAGTTTGGAGGTATGATTTATAAATTAAAGTGCATTCATGATTTTAGTGTGACTCTAGGTCTGCTGTGCTCACATATGGGTTATGGGATCAACTACGCATTGATTGTGGTACTGAGTTCTATTTAACTATTTATATTCAGGCAAATCTTCGGAGCATTTATGGACCACCCAATATACGTCCATTTTGTCAGACTACTTCAACACAAGTATGTGTGTGATTGTTGCATAATTAATTAATTTTTAAATTAGAATTTGTGTGTTGAAAGAATATGGCCTCACATTAACTCCAGAGTGAACTATCCTATTAAGAGAATTCTTCTCTGGATGGAGGAACATGGACACATTGATATGACTTGTGAGGTTACGAGATTCTGTGTGTCCTTCGTCACTATTTGTGTATCAGCTGTTGGTGTGAACAGATTTGTTGCTGCATGGAATTATCATTATATATCAGGTATGGCATTATATGGTAAGC